CGACGTGATGACGGTGTCGAAGGCGAGGAGGGGGGAGGCGACGGCGGAGGCGGGGGCGGGGTAGGTGATTCAGCAGGGCCCGGGGTTGAGGAGCGTGTGGACGACGGTCTTATGCTTGGTGGTCGCTTCGTTTTGAAGCGGTTGAGACATAGGGGCAGGAGAGATGAAAGTATTGCGTCTCGTGTACGCAGACGTCATGTCCACATTGCGATTGACACGGGGGCGCGGGTGATGGAGCAGGACCCGGTTGCCGTGTCAGCGGACGAGATGGGAGAACCTTCCAACGAGACACGCCGTGACCCGGTTCATGCAGAGGCGCAAGCCTCGAATACTGATCTGATGGTGACGGAGGACGATACTGGGTTCAGGATCACTCATCCCCGATCGCCAGCGTCGGTTGTTGGCACTGAGGAGGAGACGGAGTTCGGAGGACCCAGTCCACTCCGCCAGGCGCAGACTAGGTGCACTCCAGCAGGCGCCGCAGTCCACTCCACAGGAGAAGGTTTGGAGGACTGCGAGGCACGACGTGAGCCGCCTCCTCACATGACTGACAACGGTCTAGAGGATGGAGAGGTTGCACCCACTCCCACTTGTGGACAGGACGGGAAGGACGAATGTCCTCCGACGGGCCACCACGTCGGCCTCGACTGCCCGCCCGACAGTCTTCCATGCACCGACGAGCTATTCACCATGCATTCCGCCTTGGCATCTCTGCCCGATGTATCGCTACTGATATCTCCCACTTTGCCGGTTGTGGCACCACCGGAGCATGCTGGACGAGATGACGCGCGTCGTGACAGAGGGTTCGACGAGTTCGGCAGCGACACGATATTGCGGCGACATGATACTACATCCTCCAGAGTCCGGCACTCCCGCCATTTTTCATGTCGGTGCACCGTGGGCGATGGAGCAGGGGTTGGCGGAGGAGGTGGCACAGAACCGTCATGGCGGACCGTCCGTCGCAGCGCAACATAGTCTGGGAGGTTCACTAGAGCCAGTGTCAGGAGATTTTTTGGCGCAAGGGGGTCATGGTTCGCAACTGTTATCGGACGGCGTGTCATCAGTCCATCCATCGGACGAGGGCCCGCAACGAGAGCCACATCGAGGCCCAGCGGATACTTTAGAGGCGAGGCCTCCCAGAGTTATCCACTCGGATGGAGGCGAGGGCATGAGCCAGGACATGGCGCAGCCAGGGAGCGCAGATGGTGGACGGTCCTTCGCGGGGGGCATCGAGCGCAGAGGGTCATCGACCGCACAGCCGAGCATTGTTAGGCCCAGCACACACTGGCATGACGTTGGAGACGGGCATACAGATGAGCCTCGACCACATCTGATGGGGATGCGTGACATCATGCGTCCACCACCCTCATGCCCCCCTGTCGCTGACCCCGCCGCCCACGGGCAGGCCGCGCCGAGCGCATTGCCTACGAGGTCTTTCTATGACGGTGCGGGCATGGACAAGAAGGCGGGCGATATGGGACAGACATCAGCATGCGGACCGGCAGATGTGCCTGCGGGGGCGCGATCAATCGGCAACGTCGACGCCACTTGTCACGATTCCCACGACAGTTCCGTGCCACCTCCTCCGCCAACCCCTGCTCCACCGCCCACGGTGCACCGGCAGCGCAACATAGTCTGGGAGGTTCACTAGAGGCAGTGTTTGGAGATTTTTTGGCGCAAGGGGGTCATGGTTCGCAACTGTTATCGGACGGTGTGTCATCAGTCCATCCACCGGACGAGGGCCCGCAGCGAGAGCCACATCGAGGCCCAGCGGATACTTTAGAGGCGAGGCCTCCCGGAGTTATCCACTCGGATGGAGGCGAGGGCGTGAGCCAGGACACGGCGCAACCAGGGAGCGCAGATGGTGGACGGTCCTTCACGGGGGGCATCGAGCGCAGAGGGTCATCGACCTCACACCCGAGCATTGTTTGGCCCAGCACGCATTAGCATGACGTTGGAGACGGGCATACAGATGAGCCTCGACCGCATCTGATGGGGATGCGTGACATCATGCGTCCACCACCCTCACGCCCCCTTGTCGCTGACCCCGCCGCCCACGGGCAGGCCGCGCCGAGCGCATTGCCTACGAGGTTTTTCTACGACGGTGTGGGCATGGACCGGAAGGCGGGCGATATGGGACAGACATCAGCATGCGGACCGGCAGATGTGCCCGCGGGGGCGCGATCAATCGGCAACGTCGATGGCACTTGTCACGATTCCATGAGAGCTTACGAGGAGCAGCATGGGACGCCTTTACGGGCTGAGACGACCGATGTCCACGACACCAGGACGGCAACTGCGAGGCTATCATGGGCGAGGAAGAAGGGAACAGGTGTGTCGATTCCGTATCACCGGCGCCGCCCGCAACCTTTTTTCCGCAACGGGGACGAGACCAGACAGATGCCAGCTGCCGCAGATGGACAGGGGGGGGCAGAGGAAGGTGACATAGTAGACGAATCAGGTCGAGGTGAGAGGAGACGAGGCGGCACGATCATCATCCACGACGACAGCTCCACGGCCGCTGAGAGCGGTGAGACCACATGCGCCGACGATCCTGATGACTCCGATTACGTCCCGAGGATCCGGACGGCAGACGGAGATGACGGCGGAGGTCGTCGCGTGAGGATGAGGACTTGGCCCGGAAGGTCATGGCACCCCAACGGCACATTTGCCCCCTATTGATCGACGGGCGC